CCCTTGTGCCTTCCTGAGACAAGTGATCCTGGTCTGGGGAAAGGATGGGCTACTCCAGTCCTCCTGTCCCTGGAGGGACTGGAGCAGCAGGACAAAGCCTTCTGCCTGCTTCTTGCACAAAGGATTTCAAAGTGAGAAGCAGATAGAGGCGTATGGCACTACTCCCTCCTGGTGCCCAGGAGCCAAGGAGAGCAGCAGCACCATGAGCCTCCTACCTGCTTCTCATTTGAATCCTCAGGGTAAGTAGTAGGTAAAGAGCAGCTTCCCCTCCCAGTCTATGGAAACTGCCATAGCACCTTCTCCAGACCAGGGTGATTTTGGTCTCTGGAACACAGAAGCTTTTCCCCACAGCTTCACTCCACCTGGTTTCTGGGAAGCGTAAGCCATATAGGTGGTTTATTCCCCTCAGATAAACTCTCCCTGGAATAATTTCTACCTGGCTGTAGTCATATTATTTTTCCTCACAGAACAGCCATTTTTGCTTTAAGAGAAAAAGATAGAACATCTGTACATAGTTTCTACTGGGAGAGCTGCGATTCTCCCAGTAGAAACTGAACATCCGCACGTGGCTTAGTTCCTGTTATTCAGAAAAAGTTTTTACTTCAACTACTTTTGGTTTCAGTTTAGAAAGCTGAACAAGGGTCAATCAAGGGTCTCTATTCTCCATTTGGAATAACTGTTTGAAAATTGGCTACTACAGTTTAAACCATGAGGAAAAGCTTGGTTTTAATTCATAGACTGGAAAAATGTACATGCCTGGGGGTGATCCATTACATTTTAAAAACCTGATTCAGGAGCCAGGTCTTAAGTGCACCTTCAAGTGCTGAATACTATTAAAAGTATTAAAAGTGTGGCACTTTGAAACAACAACTGAAGTACTAACTACAGACAATTCTCAATGAAGGAAACGGAAGAGGAAAAAGGAAATAGAAGAGGAAAAAGGAAATGGGCAGTTTAAAAAGTACAAGATGTGTTTTGATAAAGAAAAGAAGGCTGTCTTCAGGATACTTCCTAAAATAAAGTGAACAATTTGAAAATGATGACTGTGTGCATTTTTAACAGAATTCCAGTTTCTATTCAAATTGAGCTTGACAAAAATTATAGGTAAAAAAGTTTATTTATCTATTTCCAACACCATAAACAATGTGAAGATTAAGAGCCTGAGAAAAGGCTGAGCAACATTATTAAGTCTAGCTGCAAAGCAAATTATTTAAAATTGTTTTTAGCAATTATCAAATAGCAAGATCATAAGACTTGCCAGAAATTTAAAGTAACCCCCTCTCACAAGCCACTACCTCAAAAAAGGCATCACAATTTCAAATTCAGGCATTACAAGTCTACCCCGTTTTTTTCGATTCATCTGCTGGAGAGCTCAAGGTGTCCTATGGTGTAATGAAAATCTTACATTACATTTTTTTCATGTGATAAAAGTTGTAGAAGAACCATTTGCAAACATCTAAGTGACATTCTGCAAGTACTTATAAGAATGACATTTTTTGTGCAGATTTTTGCAGACTTTTATGCAGATTCATGACTTTTAGGAATTAATTTACATGAAGAACAACAAAAGCAGCTGACATATTTTGATTCACATAAAATAAGTATTTTATTGCATGAAATGCAGCTGCACGATTAAGATATATGGAAAAGAATTAAACATACTGTATCAACCCTTACACGAAGCACTGTTAAAAACAAGCAAACAAACAAACACACACACTCACATTCCAACCCCTGCCACACACACAGACCAGTTTAGTTAATGTAATAAGTTTTGATTACACAAAACGGAGCTTTTCGTTCATACTATACCAAACACCTTTAAAAAGCAATTAATTAAAGACCCAGTCCTGCAGATGGATCCATGCTGGTGATCCCCTGCACAATAATGGAGCCATTCATATCAGAAAAAATAAATGAGACTACACAGAAGCAGAGATTCAACTGCGTAAAGCTCATTACAGAAATGGGGAATTAGTGTTAAAATAGCATCTCTTTACATTTGTTTAGAATTACCAAGGTAGAGGGAAAGCGATTCCTCTGTTCTGTTTCCTTTGCAAGAGTATTTTGAATCTAGTTATTTTCCTTTGTGTTGATTTTTGAACAAGAAAAAATGGGAAAAAGTGAATGAAAAAAAAATATAGGAGGACTTCAGGCCATGAATACAGCTAGACATATTTTTATAACAATTTTCTAAAATTGGGCAGTTGACAGTGTCCCTTTTATGAAGGAATTTCAAGTTGACAGTGTCCCTTTTATGAAGGAATTTCCTATCCACACAAAAATATACATCCTATTTTTTTTATCCTTGATTCAGAATAAATTGTAGTTGTTCTCTTTCATTTCTACTGAATGACGTACAAGTTGTATTTTTATAAAAAAAGGAAAGGTGAAGGGTTTTCCAGTTATTATAGTTAGAAACAAAACACTCTCACTTCACTCATTTCTCCAGAGCCTGACTTATAACAGCACAAAGCAGCTCTCCTTGCTCCCAGGTGAAGGAGCTGTCAATGCCTATTTCTTATGTCCAAAGCCTAAAGACTTATGTGTGTGCTTAACTTCGCTTTCTGCAAGGTGTCCCCACCGAATACAGCAGAGCAACTTACATGCACAACTTAAGTCCCAGCCTGGGAAGGACTAACACAACACACCACTCCTTCTTCCCTAATATAAGAACTAGGGGCTTTTTTACACATGTAAGCACCACAGATTTGAAAAAGCGCCTGGCGCTGTGATGCCTGCAGTTGTATACGTGGCAAAATGCGCATCAACACAAAGAACATGGTGGCGCTTGCAGGTGCTTTAGTTCAAAAGCACACCACCTTCATTTTCTGCGTGCTGACGTGCATTTCGCCACTTGTACAACTGCACACGGCACAGTGCAGTGTGCATCAGCTTACGTGCGGAACAGAATTAATTAATAGAGTCTGCTCCGAAGTGGCGGATCTCCAGCATGTTGCGGGACAGAAAGGTATGTGTATAAATGCTCTAGGAGAGCTAGACTGCTCAGATCTTTGATGTGACAAATTGAAAATGCTGTCAAAACAGTTGTATTCTTTTGGTCTGCCTTTAAGGGGGAGGGGGAGATGAGTTGTATGCTAAAGCCAAAACTTGTATACTATCAAACACCTGTTTATATTCTGCAACTATGTTACAGACCAGTGGCTTTCAACCTTTTTTCATTTGAGGACCCCTAAAAAATTTCGAATGAAGGTGCGGACACCTTTGAATTGTAAGTGTGGGTATTCACATACTTTCGATTAATCATAGTCATCTTTTGTGGACCACTTAGACATAGTCTACAGACCTCTAGGGGTCTCGAGACCGCAGGTTGAAAACCACCATTATAGACAAAATATACAATATCAGTCTATCAACAAAACAGCCTGGTATTCAAAACAATTACACTGCTCTTCCACGAAAAACTCCGGCTTTGCTTCTTCTGTCCATATTAGCATTACCACAAGTTTTACAGTTGGGGTGGGGGAGGAGGAAATCAACTCATTTTAATAGAGTATAATTTTTCTTTTAGTAAGTTTGTGTTGAAATGGGACAGATGAAGCATGTTACAATGTCACAGCGAAGGCTGTACATACCCATCCTCCTCATTTATAGGACTTACTGAATTCCAAACAGTAGGAATTCCTCCTCAAATGACCACCTGCGCTGCGCTGTGTATGCCACAAGCTTCCAGGCAGTAATAAAAGCTATGGTTTACTTTAGAATTTGAGCGTACAGTTCTGGCAAACATCACCCAGACCTTAACATAAGGAAGCATCTTGGACACTGCCACATTTCATTGTTTGCTCCCCACCCCTCCAAAAACGAACGAAGAACCTAAAATGACATTAAACTACAGCTTTATAAATAAATAATTCCATCCCAGCCCTTGCATTCAACACATTCCTGTACCAAAAAGCATGACCATAAATCTCCTAGGAAGCCCAGTAAATCCCTTCCCCAGGCCATTAAAAAAACAAAAGCGCCTGCAGCATGACTGTTCCGCTTCCTGCAGGAAATGAGATGCTTGTATTAGATACCTCTGTGGTTTTCATACTGCAAGTGTATCGGGGAGGATAAATCCTCTAGAGAAGCCTATTAACTAATGCTTAGAAAGAGCAATGACAAACAGCGCGTAGTATTTCATGGGAAATGCACACACACACAAGCCCAGCCAGACATCCTCTAGTGACATCTTTTAGAGCAGGCAGTTGAGGCGCTGTCCTTGGAACAAACAGGGTGTGAGGTAGGCGAAGGCTGTACATACCCATCCTCCTCGGTTTCCTCAGCCTCACTCCACCTCCCTCCAAGGAGATCATTATTTCCGTGCAGCTGGGCAGCCAGCCCACTTCACCAGCTCCTGCTGCCCCTTTCCAGAGCCATCAGTGACTGTAGGCAGGAACCAGGAGGCGGCCGTGCCCAGCTCTCACACATGTGCGCAGACACACACGCGCGTGCACACAAGATGCACGCACGACCACCACGCAAAACATGCATGCACACAAGCCACGCACACACAGCACGCAAGGCGTGCATGCCACCTGCGCGTGCACGCGCCCACCACACAAGACACGCCACGCACAAGGCGTGTGTGCACACGAGACACACACGCAGTGTGCATGCCACCTGTGCATGCATGCCTCATGCGCCCACCATGCAAGACATGCCACGCGCAAGGCATGCATGCACACGAGACACGCGCGCACACCACAAAGACATGGAAGACACATGCAGTTGGCTTTTTGGTCAGACAAGCACAGCTCAGCCTGGGGCGCATCCCTGGCAGGTAGGGCACAGCCACTCCCCCACACCCACCTTTCTAGGACCAGACCCCACCACCAAGCGAGGAGAGAGGAAGGTGGGAACCTGGCTGTAGCAGAGGCAGCTGGCCAAGCAGGGCCCCAGACGGGAAAGGAGACAAAGGGGCAGCAGGGGCCCGCCGGGCACCTGCCGCCCGGGCACACACACGCAGACACACACGCACACGCGCAGGCCCATACCGAGCAGCAGCAGGCGGTGCGTCTGCTTGTACTCCCGCTTCTGCTCCTTGAGCGCGCGGTCGATGCTCTTGCTGACTTTCCTCGCTTCCTTCTCCGCCTCGCGCTCCTCCAGCCGCAGCTTTTCCCAGGGTCTCTGCAGCG